TCCCAACAGGCCTGGGGATAAGTCCTTAATTTGCCCCACCCGAGTGTTGAATGTAGAATGCATGTTGTGTTTTTACTACTTATCTTGTTTTTATATCATTTATTGTGTATTGTACCCCCTCCCTAATGGTTGTAAGCCACCCTGAGTCCCCTCAGGGAAAAGGGCGGCCTATAAATTTTAATAAAATACCTATAAATTTTAATAAAAATACCTGTTCTCTCACTTCACCGGGACGAACCCCTCTCCTTGCACCCTCACATCCGCAGGTTCCTTAAAGGGGCTTCTAATCTCTGCCCTCCTGTCATACACCGATTTCCCTCCTGGGATCTGACCAAAGTCCTCGACTTTCTCACTGACCCGCCCTTCAAACCTCTCAGGTTGGCCTCCTTGCATCACCTCACGCTCAAAACTGCATTTCTGGTGGCCATAACATCTGCGCGGAGGGTTTCAGAGCTGGCGGCTCTTTCCATCCGGACTGACTTGTTTGTGTTCCACCCAGACCGTGTGGTCCTTCACATCGACCCCACCTTTGTCCCGAAAGTAAATTCAGCTTTCCATCGCTATCTGGATCTCACTCTTCCAAATTTCTGTCTGGCTCCATCTCACAGTCTGGAGCGTAAATGGCACAAACTAGACGTCAGGCGTGCTCTTAAAATCTACATCACCAGGACAACAGTCTTCAGACGCAGCGAGGCCCTCTTCATTTCTTTCCACCCTAACAACAAAGGGCTGAAAGCTTCTTCATCCATGATTGGCCGATGGATCAGGATCAGGTCTGCCATTGCTCAAACGTACATCACGCATCATCTCACTCCTCCACCCAACATTACAGCTCATTCCATGCACAGCACAGCTATGTCAGCGGGGTGGCGCGGCAGGCCTCTGTGGAAGAGATCTGCAAGGCAGCTACCTGGTCTACTCCTAATTCGTTTATACGACATTACAAGGTGGATCGGTATCATCGGCGGATGCGGCCTTCAGATGGCGAGTCCTCCAACAGGTTCTTCCTTCTTCCACCTCCTAGGCCAGTCTCATTCCCTCCCAGGTACACGCCAGCTTTGGTACGTCCCATGCATGACTGCTGTCTCCACCAACTTTGGAGAATGGGGCATTGGTTCTTACCTGATACGCCCCTTCTCTGGACAGGTGGAGACAGCGATCATCCCCATCCTTTGGGGTCCTGGCCTACTTCGCAAGGGAGATCTGGGATCATGTTGTGTAGTCACAGGATGGAAAGCGATTGTTCACCGCACAGCAGTCTACTTATCTCCTTCCTCAAGAAAAGCGGGAGCATGCTCCTCAGAGGTGATGACATCACTTTGGTAGATTCAGTTCTATTGGTTACTGACTGAGTTAACCCATGCATGACCGTTGTCTCCACCTGCCCAGAGAAGGGGTGTATCAGGTAAGAACCAACGCCCCATTCTCTTAACTATGGGAATATTAATCTTAAAATGGAAAAAATAATTTAAATAAAATCAGAGCAGTTTGTCTACATAGTTATTTGTCATAGTTTGATTTCAACAAACATAAAAATCTTGCTAAGGATTCCATGGATAAAAATCCTGAAGGGGAAAACAACTCAAGCAGCTTTGAAAGCTGAAATAAAGCTCAGTTTAGCATCATGTCATTAAAATAGAAAAAAGACAACACATAAAACCGCCATGATTGCATAAAGAAATCTCACAAATTGAAAGATAAAAAGGATAAGTATAAAAAATGGAAAGAGGGACACATAAATAAAGCAGAATACTATCAAACAGCTGGAATCTGCAAAGATGAAATCAGGAAAAATGAACTAAGACTTGCAGCAAATGTAAAAAATATTTTTTAAAGTTTATTTCAATATGTTAAAAAGAAGAACAAAATCAAGAAAACAGTCAGTCCACTAATGGGGGAAGATGGGAAGAAAATAACAGGAAGCAGGGAGAAAGCAAAACTGCTTAATTCATCCTTTGTATCTGTCTTTACAAAAAAGGAAAAATAACTCCACCTCAACAAAATCAAGACAATATAAAAATTAAAAAGATATTAGGAATACAAATAAAAATAGGCAAGAAAATGGTAAGACAAACTCTATCAGTCTAAACCAAGAGTATCAAACTCAAGGCTGATGGGCCACATCTGCCCTGTGGGGTGCTTATATCTACCCACATTGACAGCCTGGAAATATCAAAGGAGTGCAGTGCCTCTGTCAGCCAAAATGGGCAGCATGCTCATTTTCAGCTTCCCAGCCTCCTGTAGCACTCTGCCAGCCAAAAATGGACCATGCAGAGGAGTCTGCATGGCTCGTTTTTGGCCAGCAGAGTTTTGTTGAATGTCATGGAAGGCAAAAACAAGATTCAGAGGGGCGCACGTGGGTCCCCAATGCCCCATTTTGGCCAGCAGGGTGCTGCAGGTGATGTCCATCCCATCTCGACCCCCTGTGTCCCCATCCCCCCCCCCCCCTCTGCTGAGAACTACAATGCTGATCTGGCCTTTGACGAAATCCAATTTGACACCTCTGGCCTAAACTAATTTGAATCACCAGGCCCATATGCATTACAACCCAAGATTCTGAAGGAGCTGGCACACATGATTTCTGAAGCACTTTACGTTATCTTTCAAAAATCCTAGAGGACCAGAAACTACCAGAGGACTGGAAAACAGCTAATGAGGTTCCAATCTTAAAAAAAAAATAGATTCAGAAACTACAGACCCATCAGCCTGATGTTACTACCTGGGAAGATCCGGGAAAAGATAATCAAACAGCTGTGCAAACACCTAGAAACAAGCAAATTACTAGAAGCCAATATGGTTTCTCAAAAACAGATCATGCCAGATAAAGCTTATTACATTCAAATGAATTAATGACTAAATTAGTGGATCAATATAAGTTTGATTAAATCTATTTTATTTTATTTTTATATATTGCTCTTATGATTTCTGATTTAAATTCATCTATTTTAAATTTTAAAAATTTTAAAAAGAAATATTTGATATAGAGAAAGAGCTAAAGGGATAA